TTTTCACTTTTAGATGAAAATACAAGTTTTTATCTTATTTTATTTTAACGAAATTATGTTTTATGAGTAATTATCTCAATATTATACTATTAATGACATATAAAAATTGGGGTCATTACATTGTAAAGGCGTGGAAGGCGATTGTCAGAATCCAAAGTGGCAATTACCACGATAATATATTTGAAGGATACGAACAGTGGCATTCGAGTAGAGGAAAAACTGTAGTTCTCCTACCAACCGACAAGGGCAAAGAGAAGTTAGAGGTTCCCACTAGGAGAATGTATCAGTGGGCAGTGGAGTGCCTATGTGAACAGAGGAACTATTTGAAATTCTCTTGGGCAGTGGATATGTATCAGCGGAGTACCTATGCCCAAACCTCAAGTATAAAGAGTATGATGAAAGTCTGACGTGCTCGTTCCACGCTGGGGCAAAAGGTCACTCCCTGGAGCAATGCAACCGTTTTCAAAAGAGAGTTCAAGAGTTGTTAGATTCAAAAGTCCTTACTGTCACAAAATCTCACCTGAAGAAAGGGACAAATGTCGTGGAAGATATCTTGGTTGCTGAGGGCTCAAGTGATTCTCTTAAACCAAAACCTCTCACCATCTTTTACCGTGAAAAGCCAGATGCACCCAGCTGCAGTTAGAAACYAATCACTATCACGGTCCCAGCTCCTTTCGAGTATAAAAGTTCCAAAGCAGTGCCTTGGAGATATGAGTGCAAGGTAACTGTAGGGCAAGAGGTATCATCTCCTTCACTCCCAGTTGATAATATCACCGGAGTWGGAGGTTTGACACGAACTGGGAGATGTTATACACCGGATAGCTTGCTAAAGCGCGTGAATGAGCCTTCTAGTGAAGCAAAGTGAATACAAAGTTATTGAACAATTAGGTCGRACACCCGCAAAGATCTCTATATTATCTTTACTGTTATCCTCTGAAACGCATCAGAATGCACTGTTTGAGGCCTTGAAGCAGGCTTTCGTTYCACAAGACATCACAGTGGATAATTTGAGCAACGTTGTGGGGAATATAACGGCATCTAGCTCAATCACTTTTACAGATGAGGAGATACCACTAGAGGGTATATGACATACCAAAGCTCTCCACATCTCAGTTAAGTGTAAAAACTTCCTAATAGCAAAAGTCCTTGTGGAAAATGGATCTTCTTTAAACATAATGCCAAGATCCACGCTAGAGAAGTTATCGGTTTATATGTCCCATATGAGACCTAGTACTGTGATAGTAAGAGCTTTYGATGGAGCTCGCAGCTCTGTTGTTGGGGATATTGAGATCCCRATCCAGATAAGTCCTTGCACCTTTGACATAACATTTTAGGTTATGGACATCACATCAGCTTATAGTTTCTTGCTGGGGCGACCATGGATACATTCGGCAGGAGCAGTTCCATCCACTTTACATCAGAAAATTAAATTTGCGGGTTGACCAAAAGTTAGTGATCATATYGGGACAAGAAGACATTCTAGTCTCAAGGCTTGCTTCGATGCCATATGTTGAAGCAGCAGAAGAAGCTTTTGAGTCTTCATTCCAATCATTCGAGATTGCAAATGCTACAACTTTACATGGGAAGTTTGGAAGACCTAAGCCACGACTTTTAGAGACCGCCTTTAAAGGAGACAATGCGAGCTTAGACAAACTGCTGATGATGGCTAAGAATACAAAGAAGTTCGGGTTGGGGTATAAACCAAGTAGAGGCGACATCATTAGAGTGTGGAGTCTGGAAAAAGCAAAACGACTCTCAAGATTTGAGAATGAGGAGCGTGATTACCCTAGRAGGACTGTTCCACCTCTCAGCCACTCTTTCAGAAGTGCCGGCATAATCCATCAGGAGTACGATGAGAGCTCTGTAGTGGCAGGAGTGACAGAAGAAAGAGAGCAAGTCGGACCTTTTGTCTACCCGTGCCCGGATGGTTTCGAGCTGAGCAATTGGAGTGTGTTAGAGCTACCGTCTTTTGTAAATAATAAATCAAAGTAATTGTCCATTTTTTTTCCTTCCCCTCATTTTCTTAATTAATGAAATTAATTTTCTATTTCCTGTACATTCCATCCAGACCTATTATTTCTTTATAATTYTGCCATATCAATAAAAGTTTGAGTTCATTCACTTTGTTTTTTTGCCCTACTATTCTTTGGGTCAGTTTATTCATTTGTTTTCTTTTCTTTTCTTTTTTCCTTTATTATGTCTTAAGCAGTAWTAYTGAGATTGAATGCGATAATGATTCGAAATACGAGCTCGATACACCTATATACAATATCGAGTCTGATGAGGAAATAGATGACGAGTTCTCTRCTGAGTTATTGAGAATGCTAGCAGAAGAAGAAAAGATGTTGGGACCCCATGAAGAATTAACTGAGACAATTAACTTGGGATCACAAGCCGAAGCCAAAGAGGTTAAAATAGGCACTAATATGTCTTCAGAGAGTCGCAAAAAGTTGATAGAGTTACTTCATGAATATGCTGATGTTTTTGCTTGGTCCTATCAAGATATACCTGGTTTAGATACAGACATCGTAGTGCATAAATTGTCGATCAACCCAGAGTTCAAGCCGGTGAGGCAGAAGTTACGAAAAATGAGGCCGGATATGTTGATCAAAATAAAAGATGAAGTAAGGAAGAAAATTGATGCAGGATTCCTTACAGTATCTAATTACCCTGAGTGGGTGGCAAACATTGTCCMTGTACCAAAGAAAAATGGACAAGTAAGAATGTGTGTGGATTATAGAGACTTGAATCGTGCAAGTCCAAAAGACAACTTCCCGCTTCCTCATATCGATGTGTTGGTTGATAATACTGTTATGTTCTCAACCTTCTCCTTTATGGATGGGTTCTTAGGCTACAATCAGATTCAGATGGCACCTGAGGATCGTGAAAAAACCACATTCATTACGCTGTGGGGAACTTTCTGCTACAAAGTTATGCCATTTGGGCTAAAAAACGCTGGGGCAACCTACCAACGTGCAATGGTTGCTCTCTTTCATGACTTAATGCACAAAAAAATTGAAGTTTACGTGGATGATATGATTGCCAAGTCAAAAGAGGGCGAGGAGCACACAACTATTTTAAGGAAGCTKTTTGATCGATTGAGAAAGTTCAAATTGAAACTCAATCCCAACAAATACATATTTGGGGCAACCACTGGAAAACTCCTGGGTTTTGTAGTAAGCCAAAAAGGCATTAAAGTTGACCCGGATAAAGTCAAAGCAATCTTAGAGATGCCACCTCCATGGACGCAGAAAGAAGTCAGAGGATTTCTAGGACGACTCAACTACATCGCAAGGTTCATATCTCACTTAACAGTAACTTGCGAACCYATCTTTAAATTGCTCCGCAAGAACAACGATGGGGTATGGAGTGAAGATTGTCAAGCAGTATTTGATAAGATTAAGAAGTATTTGCAAGACCCTCCAGTTCTTGTGCCACCAACTCTAGGACGACCCCTTATTTTATATCTCATAGTGACTGAAGACTCAATGAGATGTGTACTGGGGCAGCATGATGATTCAGGTAGAAAAGAACGTGCATAATGTACTGGGGCAGCATGATGAAAATGTACTGGGGCAGCATCATGAAAATGTTTTGATCAAAACAATTCGTAGGTTGCACACACACACACAATCATTTTCATACAATTCTCTTATTCTCAATCCTTCATAATCTCAAAATTTCTAATTGTTATTATCTCTACGTTCTCAATTTTTCTTTTCATCTTATTTGTGAGAGAAATTTATTGTTGTGAGGATTGAATTTTTTGTGAGCTCAAATTTGTACATTCACTTTATTTGAAAGTTTGTCGTCTTTGCTCTTGAGAAGGACAGTGTACCAGTTTGACTCCTACYGTAGAAAGAGTCGGTATTTGAATTTACAACCCAAGGGTACTTCGGGAGTGGGGTAGGATAGTTGTGCCGAACCACTATAAAAATTCCTGATGTCAAAATTCTCTAACCCTATCTCTTATTTATTTTTGCAATTAATTTTAGAATTTTATTGTTTGCTTTAAATTTCTCTTATTTGCCTTAGAATTTACTTTATCTTACTTTGTCAA